CAAATTCTTAACTGCTTGGATAAACCTGGCTAAAATTATTCTGTCATAAATTGAGTGAAGTGAGATTTTTACTTTCGTCAGAAATTAGAAACATTTCTAGAAGCTGTGACACTTTCTGGGTCAACTTCTTTAAATATAGGTAGTGGACAGTTGTCCCTTTCTATGCTSAAGAATCCCTGAATCAAACCCAGCAGCTTCCACAGAGTGCTTGCGCCCCCTGTTGGCCATTCCTGGAACAACATCCTTCTCATCAAGRGGGGGTTGATTTCCTTTAATTTTCAACTGTGCAAATAAATTCACAACCGTCCCACCCACATGCAGCGTTTGTGAGCCCACATAGTAAAACTGTGTTAGACAGAATTTTTATGCTCTCAGTAATGTTTGCAATACAAAAAATAAAAGTTTTATGTTATCCTAAGTTACTGTATTTAAGCACAGTTTTGAAAGTAATGTTTAAAAGTGTTTCTTATGACAAACAAGCAACATTTGGAATAGCTGCACTTGCCCTTAAGAGTCAAAGGACCTGAGACACAAAGGGACAGAACAACAGGGAGGATACCAAGGCACAAAGGCCACAAGTAGTGTGTTTTGGGGGCAGCAGTCCTTACTGGACTTAYAGCTCTTGTCCTCTGTCCTTGAAAAACAAGAAAGCAGTGTCTCACATGTGGACTCCTCAGAACTGCATCTTTCAGTATGTCACCCTGAGAGCTTATGATAATCTGGGGCCTGGGCGGCAGGTGTTGAGGTTCCCACCAGCTGTGAAACCAGAACCCCAGGGAGTGTGAAGCAATTAGAAATTTCAAAAATTAGAAATTTCAAAAGATTTAATTCATTTCTGCAGCGCCGTCCTGGTTCCTAAGTGTTTTCCTTCCACATTAACTACATCCAGTCTTTTCGTGGAAAATACTGTTAAAACAATTGAAGGGGAGTGGGAGAAGGGCACTGTGAACTTCAGTGTTTGGGGCTGTCAGAAGCCACGTGGCCAGCGGTGACTCCTCCATGCCCTGGGGTGGGGCCTGGGCTGGTCTGGGCAGCCTGCCTGGGCTGAGGGCCAGTTCCAAGGGCCAGTATGTACTTTCTCGTCACTGCTCTGCAGCCCTGCTGGTGACAGCTGAAGCAGTGCTGTTCAGTAGGTGGGTTTCAGTAAGTTCAACAGAATCAGGAGGGAAGGTTCCTTGGAGAAAGGAGGACAGCCTGTTAAAGAGAGCAGATTCACATGGCTAGCCTGATTGACACCCTGGAGCAAGGATGGGGAACTAAATGATTAAAGTGCCCTTAAAAGCCCAGAGCTTCAGAAAGAATCACCTGCCATTTCTGTGCTTGCAGGTCAGGGTCCAGCTTCTTCCCCTTGTGCTCAGCCTCGTTTAGTTTTCAGGCAGGTTTGCTTTTCTAAGGAGTGACACTTGGATTCCATTCAGAAACATAGAAACTGGAGAAAGGAAGCAACCTGCTTCTCTACATTTCCACAAATAAAACCCAAGCAGAATGGCCAAGTCTTAATGTCCCTGGGGATGGATCTCCCTGAGGAGCACTGTAGGGGTCAGGTTGGCCAKCGGGGGGACCTGTTCCTTGGTGTTGCTGTGAGGGTGTGGGGAATTACAGGGTGCAGAGCTGGTAAGGTGGCCTGGGGTCAAGTCCAGGAGGGTCTGCTGGCCCAGCCAAAATACTGATGCTGTTTCCAGAGGCCTGATGGGGCACTCTTGCCTTTCTCTGCCTCCATCTAGAAAATGGGTCACAGAGATGACAGGGTACAGGGCACACAACTCACTTGGAATATCAAACAACAAATATGCTTTTAGTGTGCCAGGCCTTACTTTTGCATTATGTGTTGTTTATCTGAAATGCAAATTTAACTAGGTGAGATATATATATATATATATATATATATATATATATATATATATATATATATATATATATATATTTTAAATCTGGCCACCCTAAAAGATAAATCTGAAGTAGGATGTATTAATCTCACTAAGAGTTGCCCTCAGAGACTGTAAACCCACCCAGGAAAATCAAAGAGGTAGCCGGAAATATGTCATCAAAGCAAGCATGCAAAGACTGTAAAACCCTGTAATGTTGCAGAATTGTTGCACAATGCTTTACATCCTGTAAAGTGGGTGTGAACACGCCAGATGCATTGACTATACAAGAGGATAATCTTCAGAACATAAAAGTCCTAGTACTGTGTCATCAATTTGCTGGGTTCAAAGCTAGTATTCTAAGAGCCGAAGGATAACAGTAGCTTGTCTCAGAATAAAGAAGCTCTTTGTGGGAAGGAGTTATATGATTGTCTTCTCTTTAAAAACATTTTTTTTCAGAGAATTTCAAATTAGCTCTCGTTTTCTCTGTAGACTTCTCCCTAACAAGGAGGGGATCCAAGCATTTTGGTGCAAAGAGCAGCATTTACACACACACACACACACACACACACACACACACACACACACAAGCCTGCACGCACATGCAGCCATGCTTTGAGTAAGGACAGGGATGTTTTGAGAAATGTGTCATAAGGTGATTTTGTCATTGTGTAGACATCCTAGAGTCTGGTGACATAGACTAAGCCAGCTGTGGCATCACTGGGTGATATGCTGTATGGGACTCCTGTCATGGATGCAACACCATGATGGTATGTGGCACATGRTGTGAAAACCGAGATTCATAACTATTTGAAATTCTATGCAAGGCATTTGAGCTTGGGCAGAGATATCCATAGAATATGGCATTCTGGTGTTTTCTTTTTTCATTCTTCTTCCTGCTCCTTCCAGTGAGCAGAGYGGTAGAAAGGGACACAGGGTGAACTGGTCCCTTTCTCTGGTGGTGGCCAGGGCATCGTGCTCTGGTGTATTCAGGGGCCATGTGGACAAAGCCCCAGGCTTTTCCAGTGGGCGAGTCACAGCCCTGCTGTTTCTCAGACCCGTCATCTCTGATGGACCAGGTAAAGGGGTCTCCTGGATTGTGCTTTGGGCCCAATTTCTGACCTTGWCTCCAGTTGTGAGGGATCCTCCTCCTAGGGCCTAGGCTTTCAGAAATGCACCCTGCTATTTCTGGGGGAGTATCTGGTGGGAGTTCTCAAGAGCTAAGGTGCTGGAGCCTCTTTTTCTTTTTTTGTACCAGAGATTGAACCTAACCCCCCACCCCCTTTTTTTTTTTTTTTTTTTTTTGAGACAGGGTCTCTAAGTTGCTTAGGGCCTTGCTAATGTTGAGGCTGGCTTTGAATTTACAATCCTCCTGCCTTAGCCTCCCGAGTCACTGGGATTATAGGCATGTGCCACCACACCTGGCCCATTGGGGTCTCTTAATTTCAATCAGATCATTTAGAAAATTTTTTTTTCTATTTCTTTTGTAGACCCAGGCAATGAGTGGCCTGAAAACTGAATAATCTTTTCTTCATTCTTAAAACAAACAAGTCACTTCTGGAGAACTTTTCAGTGACTTCTTTGAACTTCTCAGTGATCACAGTTCCAGGATTCAGGCTTCTRTGGCTTGATTGTAGTTCACAGGGACAGGACAGGAATATCCTAAATCCCCCAAAACATGGGGGGAAAAGCCAGTGTCCTTGGGAATCTAATTCTCACCCTTGGGAATCTGATGGATAGAARTTGTAATGGGAAGTCTTACATTTGYGTTGCTCATGRGGAGGCAGAAAAGCATCCCATGTTGCCTAAGAATGTCCTGGAGTCATGGCATTTTAAAAATAAAATACTGTGCACCCAAGAGCCAATCACAGCCTCTGGTGACTGTAATAAGCATCAATGCTCAGATTCCTGGAAAGTGCCATCRTGACTCATGACCACTTTGTTTTTCTCTGGGCAAAAATCTGACTTTTCCCCTCCCAAATACAGCATTTACATGACTTGTCTAAATAGGAGCTCTGTTTACATGGGCCTTGTGGTCTGGGCATCCGAGACCAGCAGAGYKAGCCCTTTCCTGTGTTGCTGGGGGYGGCAGATCCTAGGCCAGCTGTCCTTTGCTGCAGTCACCATGCTGGTGGAGACAGAGTGGTCCTGGGTCAAGTTCTGGTTATGTCCGCCGTGGTGTTTTCAGAGTGGTCCCAGGACATCCCACACTGGGTTATCTTTCCCCTGCTTTTCATTTCTCCACCCTGTATTTGGRTTTACAGTATCAACCCCAACAGAGCCATAGACCATTCATTGTATTGATAAAACCTGAAATGAAGTTCAGAGCAGGACTTCGAGAATAGGGCTTCCCATACATGTGGCTGAGTGAGTAAGGTAGGTCTTCCTCCTTTGAGGTTTTACTTTCTGTTGTTTTACCTGTGGTCAACCACAGTGTCAAAATATTAAATGGAAAATTCCAGAAGTCAACAATTTGTAAGTTCTAAATGATGAACCCCTTTTGAGTGACATGATAAAACYTTGAGCCATCCTATTTCATCCCACCAGCTGTTTCCGTGCTGTATATGCTACCCTCTGTTTAGCCACTTAGTAGCATTTTTGGTTAGACCTACTTGTGGTACCCAAGTGCTTGTATTTAAGTAACCATGATTTTACTTTATAATGGCTTCAAAACACAAGAGTGATGCTGGCAATTTACATATGTTACAGAGAAACTGTAAAGTGCTTACTATCCATGAAAAGGTGAAAGTTCTCAATAAGAAAAGGGGGGAAAATCATGTGCTGAGATTGCTAAAAATTACAGTAAGAGGGAATCTCTGAAACTTGTGTGAATTTTGCTCTCTTCCCTCAAACTGCAAAAATTAGAGGCACAGTGTGAGATACATGCTTAGTTAAGATGGAAAAGACATTAAATTAYAGGGTTTGGGACTATCCATAATTTCAGGCACCCACTGGGGTTCTTGGAACATATCTCCCTCAGATAATGGGGGACTCCATATTTCCAGACATCTCATTACAGAAGATGACACCTGGGGGTGATGCTCCTGTCTTGGGGCTCCTGTTGTGTATTTTGTTAGGGGGATGTGTGTCCTGGTGTGATTTTTCTGACTTGGGGCATTTCTCTCTCTATTCCAGGTCTGGTTGCCATAAAGGATGCACACGACATAGAGACCAGGCTCAACGAGGTGGAGAAGTTGCTCAAGACGATCATCAGCATGCCGTGTAAAGTAAGGACGGCCGGGTCTGCAGGAGGGAGGGAGAGGGCCTGTCGTCTTCTGTGTTTAAAAGACGTGCACCCTCCCAGGTAACTTGCCTGTGTGCTGTATGCTGCTTGGCATTTTGTTCCCTCCCTGGGAGCACCCAGTGAGAGGGAAGCAGGAAGATGTCATCAGGGAGCGGAAGAYTTTTGTGGGCTCCCTACTACTTTGTTTTTCTGTCCCCTGGCATAAAGGGAAAGCAAAGGGCCCCAGAAGGGGTGGGGCAGGAAGGGGCACAGGACCCTCTTCAGATGAGGGGTCTTTGCTTCCTTACCTCAGCTCAGAACCTGCTCTTGCTCAGGGGATTTTAGAACAGGCCCACAGAGGCCCAGGGGAGTGTTAGCATTTCCACATTGGCAGGTGACATTGCTGGGACTTTGCTCTCTTTAGGTGGTTTGTGAGCTTTGGATGGGGTACCAATTAAGTACCTGGACTTGAGAGTTAGGCAGAACCATGAACTTCTTTTTTCTTTCCATATTTTTTTTATTGGTGCATTATAGTCATACGTAAGGGACTCTGTTGTTACATATTTGTACATGCACACAGCACAACAATATAAGTTGGCCCATATTGCTCAGTATTTCCCCTCTTCTTCTTCCTCCTGGTCCCTTTCCTCTGCTCTGCTGATTTCCTCTTGATTTTCCTGAAGATTCTCCTCCACCTTCTTTTCCTTTTTCCTAGCTTCCATATATGAAAAAAAAAAATGACCTTTGACTTCTGAGTTTAGCTTATTTTGCTTAATACACTGTTCTCATGTTTCATCCATGTTCCTGCAAATGACATAATTTCATTTTTTCTTTATGGCTGAATAAAACTCCATTGTGTATATATACACCATGGATTTTCTTTATCCATTCATCAGTTGATGAACACCTAAGCTGGTCCTATAGTTTGTTGTGAATTGTGCTGCTATAAACATGGTAGGCATGTGTCACTGTAGTATGATGACTTTAATTCTTTAGGCCAAACATGGAGGAGTGGTCTAGCTGGGACATAGGATGGTTCCATTTCTCGTCTTTCTAGGATCTCCATTCTGATGTCCATAGTGGTTGTACTAATTTACAGTTCCACCAACAGGCTGCTGGTAGGACGACTGAACTCCTTTAAGCCTCTGTTTGCTCARCTGGCACATATGGAAATAAGTGCAGCTCCGAGTTTCTCATCCAGAAACAGGGAGATGTGGGCAAAATACGGACCTGTGAATCCCTGTGAGAAGCAATGGCCATGGTGGTTATTTCTGTTATCCCCACGCTATCCTTGRGGCCTTGCATCTTAGCCACAGGGGACCACACAGGACGAGAAGTGGGCCTTGGCTGTAGCCGTCCAGGTCTCACTGGAGCCTCTGCAGTGTTGGAGGTTGCTCCCTGGGCATCAGCATCAGGCAGGACCCACCTCCACCAGGGAGCAGGGCCCTGTCCCAGACAAAAGTATGGGGCCAACTTAGGGGAACTTTTCAGTTTGTGTAATTACTGTGTTTCTTTCCAGTATTCTAGGTCTGAAGTTGTGCTCACCTTCTTCGAAAGATCTCCGCTGGACCAAGTATTAAAAAATGATAATGTACATAAAATTCAACCCAGCTTTCAAAGTCCGGTCAAAATATCAGGTAAGAGCCACAGTGAAGGCGTGGAGGGAAGGTCCTACTGTTGATGGCCATGGTGTGTCTTTGGATACAATATCCACCCTAGGGCTTGGAATTTTGTGAAAATAGTGGTGGAGAAACTGTTTCTGATTTTTATTAAGCTATGTGTTTTCTACCTATTGCTCTGCAGTTCACACTCTTCCAAAGGGATTTATTTTGCATTTAAATTGGAACTTATTTCGGAACTAGGAAGATAGTTATTGTGTAGTCTTGAACTTGGTTCTTGGTTTTAGGGCAGCCAGCCCAGGGGAAGTATAAAGAGTGGGTATAGTTAGTGTGGACATTGGACCTTAGCTTCTGGCTGCAAAGGTCAGTAAAGGCAGCCAGGGTAAGGGGGGATCACCCACAAGAGAATGGATGGTGAGGAAGGAGCACTTTTCGGTAACCTCTTGGGACCAGGTGGCATGTGTCATAAGAATAGTAGACTTGTATTTTTTCAGTGCTGTTTCCTTGAAGGCTGCTGAGGAGAATTTTGTAGAAAAAAAAGAGTTCTGTCCTGGTTGTTCCCAAGACTGGGTTTCCTCAAGTAAGGGGTAGTCACCTTGTAACATAAGAGGTGACATAAAGAGTGTCATCTTGCTGGGGCCTGCCAGTGGAAGAAGGACAAGTGGTTATGAGAGAAGACCCGCTTGGCTAAGAGTGGGATTTTATGTAACATCATGATCTGTAGGAAGGAGGGGAGAGGGCATAGGCACCATCTTTGCATTTCTGAATGGAGGAGAAGGTGGGATGAAGAGGAGGGGACTCAGTGGGAAGCTGAGCCCAGAGCTGTCTACTGGAAAGGAATCAGGGAGAGAGGACTTATAGGGACAGAGCGATGATGCCTAGGTGTAGTGTCCTTATGAAGATACACGCCACCCAGGGATGAGGTTCCCGACTGTGTGGGGGGGTGAATTGCATGGGTGGGCAGGTTCTGGAGCCTGGAGTGGAAGAGGTATTGGTAGATACCCCTGSGAGTGCAGGGTGGGTGGACATCAGGTTTGATACCTCCCACAACAGCTTCTTGAGTGTTCTTAGAAGAGTGGGCAGTGCAAGGGCCCCTCCTTAGCTGGCACCTGGTCTCCAGAACTTTCTTTACAGCAAAGTGAAGATGGCTATGTTGTTATCCTGTTTGGGTGTCTACAGACCTTCTTCTTGCAGGGAAAACAGAGAGCTCTGGAATCCCCCATTGGCTATCACATGGGATTCTGTATTGCATAGCCTGAGGCATGGGGAAGCTTCTCTTCTTTAGTCTGGGTGAGTAGGGTCCTTGCACTGAATCTTAGCGTCTGTGCTTTGCTCTATTTTGTTCTGTTTTAGGCAAATGAGAAAGCAAAGAATAGCAGAATTGTCGTAGAACCTTGTGTCATGGGAGGAACTGGGCTGTTGCTTCGTAATGACCCAGAGACTCCAGAGTTGAGGGGACAGGCTGGAGCTGTGTGGAGCTGCCTCTTGGGGAATGACTCCTTGGGAGCAGCAACCTGGAAGTCCCTTAAACCCTATCCTTCTGTCCTGCTTTTATTAGCAATGTTACTAACACATGGGCCGCATCTTTCCTAAAGGGCTGAAAGTCATGAGATGAATTAAAAGGGATAAATGTGGAGTCCCACACTTATCTTTATGTTCTTTGTGTCTTTTTGCAAGGATTAAGGACAGGTTTCAGCCCACGGCCATCTGTGAGCCTCCTGGAGCCTCCTTGGGGCCTTTCTACATGCCCAGGGCCCGGCATCTAGGTCTAGGAAGGTAGGGAGTTTTGACCTTCTAGTGCAAGTCAGGACCCTAGGCCATGTGGGATGTCCTATCCAGCCCTGGAACCATCGCAAAACAGCCATTGCATCTGGAGAAGAGATTCTGGGGAGGGAAGGGGTCAGAAGAGTGGGAAGAAATGGAGAAGAGAGATTGAGAGGAAGAGGATGTGGCTCTGGTGTTGGCAGGCCCCCACTGGTGTGGCACCAGCACTTGGGAAGAAGTGCTGCTGACTTTGGCTCCGCACACAATACTTTCTGACAACGGAAGAGTGTAAATGGCCCGTAGCTGAAAGTCTCGGTGCTAAGGCTGGGGGAGCCATCAGGGCCTTGCTGCATGAGCCTCCCTCCAGAGAGAAGCRTCCTCAACCCCTTTGGATATTTCCTCCCCTTCCTGCGGGTTCTCCCCATGAACTCTCCCAGTCCTCTGGCTTGGCTTCCCGAGCAGCCTACCCTCAATTGTCTGTCCCCTCACTGTCTGAGCAAGGGCTTCCTGACAGATCYGTGCATGCCCCTCGGCACCCCCACCCACTCAGTGCAGGAAGAGCTTCATTACTCAGTGGGCGAGGAAATACACTGATAATGACCCACGGCAGCTTCCGGAATGCTTCCTAATGAAACTACTAGTCCCAGGAGCAACAAGATCTCTTGAGAAAAGAGCTCCCGTGTGGGCACATCAGGTCATGGGTCTCAGTGCCATATCTGGGGTGGACTCTTGGGTTCCCAGGTGGAGACTCAGGGTCCAGAGAGTGCCGGCCTCACAGGAAACATCTACGTGGCTGGCACTCTTCCTCTTTCTCCAGAAATGTACCCTGAGTGCTGATGCCAGGCCTCCCAAACTGACTCCCAGGGTTCATTAATTTCTTTAAACCTCACCCTCAGAGTAAAGCTTGGTCCCTTGGTTGTTCTGGGTGTGTCAGAGTCTGAACTCTGGCTGCTGCTGGCCTGGTGACCTTGAGGGTCCTTCAGGTGAAACCTGCCCATCCATTGCTATTCTGGTAAATTCCATTCATTTGGGAAAACACTCTTCATGGCTGAGACCTATATCTACGCTTCTCCCCCTACCCTAATGCCTTCTTGTGCCAATGTGTCGTTCAGCGAGGAGGTGCCACAGGTAGGGCACTGACCCACTCTCACCCAGACTCTGAAGGCTCCTTTCTTTCCAAATGGTGAGACTGCTTAGTGGTCAGGGCTCCACTAGATGGCGCCAGGCACTAGTCGTGGTGAGAACCCTGTCCATTTCCTGGCTCCCCAGCAAGGCTAGCCCTGCAGCCTTAAGCATTCTTGGCCCCATGTGAATCTAAATGCTCATCAGATCTAAAGAAGCCAAAATCTAAAGTATTCTGTGCCAACTGTGTCTSTGCAGAGTGAAAGAAAACGTAGTTTTCAGCCTTCATCTGCTATGGCTAGTTGGATGGATGGATGAATCTCAGCCACAGAACCTGCTCATGCAGGTCTGAGGGGCCTGAAAACGATCATTTTAATTTTCATTATTCTGGCATCTGTGCAATCTCAGCCTTAATTTTTACTATCCAGAGACAGCCCAGTTAGCCAATTAATAGAAAGACATCGGTTTGGTTTTTGTCTTGTTGCTGGAGTATGTTGAAAATATAATGGGAGAGAGAGGATTTGCAAGCCAGGAAAGCTATATCATGAATACTTCCGAGACAAAATGTCTGCTGAATACAAGGTATAGAAAAGTTAGTGGAGTGACCGGGTGGTGGCTTAAGGGGACAAATGAAAACTTAGATGCAGTTTAAAAAAAAAGAAAGTACACCATTAGGACACTAGGCACCATGGTAGTTGTTGCAAAACCCTCCTTCCTCAAATGATCCATATCGGCATCAATAGTAATAGGGCCTGTGAAACACACGTGCGCACGTGCGAGCGCGCGCGCGCACACACACAATACTGCTACACTGTGGAGAACCAGCATTACTTCCTGTAGGATCCCTGCCAAAGGTGTGTCACCTCTATCTCATGGCTCAGAAACCCAACTGAGGGACATTGCATAAATAGATGGCCCACCCTCCTTACAAGTGTTACAGTCATTAGAGACAAGAAAAGAGGAGAAAGTGTCGAGGTCCTAGGAGACCAAGACTCACCAGCTGGAAGCACCAGCATTCTGGATTGGAGGCCAAACAGAGAATAAGGGTTCTTAGTGGAAAAGCTGGTGAAACTTGAGTAAAGGCGGTCTTAGTTAGCACTACTGTCCGCACGTGAATCGCCTGGATTTCATCCGTCTGCCATCCTTGTGTACAATGCGGACGTTAGAGAAGCCGCTGAGGGAAATGTGAGAACGCTCTCGACTGTGTCTGCAGCTTTTCTGCAATTCTAAAATTAGCTCAAGATTAAAAGTTGGGGGGGGGGGTGGAAAGACATACTAAAAGTAGGGCTCTTCTCCATGTGAAGATAGGAATGCAAAACAAAAAAAAAGCTCGAAAATGAAGTATTTTATGGAGTCAGTCACGTATATGATCAAAGTAATCAGACTGGCCAATGATTCTTGTTGGTGGTGCTAAATTGACATCTAAGAAATTCACATTTTCAGTGTGTTTGAAGACAGGCGTCAGGGGCTGTAATTTTTCTTTAATCATAACCATTTCCTTCAGGTCTCTCTCTTTATTTTTTTTCCATGTGTCACGACAGACAGGAAGACGTTACCGACAGGGAGGGTAATCATGGAGTTTATTTGAGCTCCCAGCAYGTGTTAGATGCTTTACATCTATCATCCCTAATTCAAGCGTGTGCCCTGTTGAATGGATACAGTTATTCCCATTTTATGGATAAAGAAACTGGGCAAGAAGTAACTTGCTTCCTAAGCATCCGGAGGAGACCTGAGCCTTGAACCAGCCCTATTTGAGTTCTAAGTCCACATGCCGTGTACCCTGGAGGACCCAATCTTTTAAACTGTAGGCCTTCAACGCTTGCTGATGCTGCGTTCCAGGCAGGTTAACGGGAGGGTCTTGTTACAAGTCAGATTCTCCTATCCRATAACCATGAATCTCAAGGAAACCTTTTGCTTGAAGGTCTGAGTCCCCTGTCCATGCTACTACCCTTCTGTGAAAATTGACCTGCCMGGGTGATTCCCAATCGAGCATTTGCTCTCCTGTTTGTCCACAGATAGGAAAAGACAGAGCTAGAAGGTTATTAGCAAAGAGGATCTGCTTAAACTGGTGGTCCCGGCTAGAAATCTGTTATAGCTAAATGCTTTCTCTCTCCCTCAACCACTAATTTGTATAACTCTTCTTAAGACTTTTTTTTTYCCCCCCAAGTGATGGCATGAATAAAAATACAAACTGTCACAGAATCTGTGCTGCTTTTTCAACTAGCGCAGGATATAAAAACCGCGTATGTTTCCTAGACTTTCAGGCTGCCATGATCTGATACTTGTTTACATATTAAAAGATCATTTGCTTTTCAGCCATCCCTCCCTTTCCAAACCAGAGTTGGGAATATATGTTGCTAAAGCGGTTGCAAACCCACCAGCCCCGTAACCTGGTTTGCCTCTCCGTTGTTGCAGAGAGAGCAGAACCAGAGTTTCTCAGGGGCCCTCAGTTGCCCTGAGGAAAACACGCAGTTTGAGCCAGGTCCCTCCCAGGGACTGGGCCTGAGGCTTCAAGCACTGACAAACCTCAGTGTCCTAAGGGGCCCAGATGGCCTCGCAAACAATTAAGCAGCATTTATGTGCACAAAGGCTTTTTTTTTTTGTTAGATAATTAAGAAATGATTAGTTTCAGATATTTTTGGAGGGGATTGGTCAAATTCCATTTTCTAGAACTCCAGAGTTCACATGKAAGAACCATTAGGAATGTCAGATAACTTCAGAGTTTTGTTCAGAAATGATTTGCAGCAGTGACATCTGTTTGAACCTGTAGGGTCCCCCGCCCCAAATTCCCTTGGCAGAGGGGTGGGGAGAAAGGGGGGATGAGGGCTGTCAGCTTAGCTGTATGGAGGCTGCTCCCGAGTTTTGTGTGCTTCCTCAGACAGACAGATTTGGGTCAGAGTTAATAAAAACAATAAAGAAAGTGGTTCTTTGCTGCCACAAACCTTTTAAATTGAGAGGGAAGGGGATCTGAACCTACCTTATTAAGGTTTCTAATTTTCAGAGTCTGCCTGCTCAGCCAGACCTGGCTAAGAATCTTCTTTTTGTTCTTTTCACACCTAGAAATGTAGTTGACCCCAGAGTTCCCAGACCCAAAGTCCCCACCAGAGTGGAGCAGGGAGGAAGACCCAAACAAGCCACCAGTGGCTGCCCCACGGGGTGTGGCTAAGTGTCACAAGAGAACATGAGCGGCCCCCTCTCCAGAAAGTTAGGTATAAATCCTAGCAAGAACTTGGCTCGTCTGATTGATGACTCGTCATTTTGATCCCATCGGGAGAAAAATCTTCTATTTTTCTTTCTTGTTTTTTTGTGTTGTTTCCCTAATTCTCTTCACATGGAGCAAAGTTCAAAGAGCTGAGAGCGGAATGCCTAGAAAGATCAAAGGTATTCAGGAAGTGACAATTTCAGTTAGAAAAAAAGCAACTTCATCCTTTGGAAGAATTTAGAATAAACTATGCTAAGGTATAAGAAAAAAACATAAATAAATAAATAACAGAAAACAATTCTCCAGACAACAAAGGGAAGATATTTCCATGGACACTGTGGGCCGGGAGTGATGCTCTTTTTTGGGGTATGGCGGGCTCAGAGGATGGGGAGGCTGATCCCCAGCGGCCTGTGAGCGTGAACTTGGCTCCGCATGGTGGGATGGTGATTTCTTGCATTTGAGAATTTGAGGTGGTCCTGGGAGTGGTGCTGAGGAAGGGAAGGGAGCCAACCTCACAGGGAAGGGAAGACTTCAAGGCCAAGGAGCATTAATGGACACCAGATCTGTTCCTGTACTGTGGGAAGGGATGAAAGCAGACCCTTGGGAAATATAAATAAAGACGAGAGCAGGAGAGAGGCAAACCACACCTGGCTCTTATGCATTCGGCCAGTACGCATGGATGCAGTCAAACACAGGTCAAGAGCATTGGAAAAGAAATCCTGCTGTAGTGGACACGTACAAACTCTCTTTTTCTCTTGTCATTATTTCCTAAATAATCAGAATAATAACTACTTAAACATTGTATTCGGTATTTTAAATCTTCTGGAGGTGATACAAAGCATACAGGAGGATATGTGCAGATCTCATGCCGGTGCTAGGCCATGTCACGTGTGGCCCTCGAGCAGCCCTGGATTTGGGTATTCTTGGAGGTCCTGGAACCAATCGTGCATGGACCCCAAGGGACCACTTTACTTAAATGGACAAGACAACATGATGAATCATATCCCATAATGAGGTTTTAGAGTTAGAAGGATCCTCAGGGGTTATCTCATACAATTTTGAAACTGCAGTGAAGCTCACAGTCAGGCTGCCTGCAGTGTCCGGGCCCCCAGCCCAGTGCTGGTCCCACATCTTTCATTCCACCTCCCCTAGCCATGGACCCAAGCCCCAGACCTCCACCTTTGCAAACTAACGCCATTCAGCCAATGTAAACACAGGAAGTCATTTTTCTCTGTTACCAACATCAGTGCTTATTGTGTGTGTCGGGGTGGGGTGGGGGGATCAATGCCTATAAAGAACTATATATAAAGACAAAAATGAAAGTGTCCTGCTTGGTTCAAAATGCACATTGATTTCATTTGATGCTCACAGGAAGCCCAGGTGGTGGATGTTGTCAGCTCTGCCTCAGCCCACAGGCGAGAGCTCAAAAAGGTTGGGTGACCTGTGAGATGGTGCATGTCACTTTAAACTCAGTGGGAGGGCCATGGGGGGSTGCTCACAGATCCAGAGCCTCTCCCCAGGCAGAGCCACACTGGCTGACTGACACAGGGTCATCCGCATGGCTCCCTCAGGGACTGGTGTCTGGCCGAGCACTGGAATGAACCTCCACTGTGCAGAGTGRGACAGAAAGGGGGACAGTAGGTGGCGGGGACAGTGGGGGAAATGGTGTAATCCCTGAAATTCAAAACCTCAACTCCTCCCCTCCCCAATACTCACTTGATGGCTTTGGTTTTCAGAAATCATGAGGTCCAATGGATTCTGTTTAGCAAACACAGAAACGATCGTCATTGACCACAGTATACCAAATGGAAAAGACCAGCACCTGGGCGTGGATCCTGCAGAGCATCTGTAAGTATCTTGGTTTGACTGTGGTTTTATAGAAAGGGTCCCCAAGCTGCCGGCCCCTGCTGGAGACTGGGGTTTGCGGCCCACACCGGCTCCATGGGAAGGAACCAATGTGGCCAGAGGCACCCTGCAGCAGACTCTGCCCACGTTTGGATACTTATTTTTAAAGATGTGTCCTTTTCTGGAGTTTGGTGAGACCTTGATTCATGGACGTTACATCTTGAGGATCTCTTGAGACTGGGATGTAACATCCATGTTGGCCTCACGTCAGTGGCTCAGGGTAGAGCCTGGCCATTGGCCCTGTTTTGAAACCTAGGGCATGTCCCATCATTGTAGGCTGGATGGACAAACACACCATTGTCCCCTCCATTCCTTCTACCTCTGATAATGCAATTCTTGACCATAGTTTGTGCTCTGGAAAGCACAAACACCTGGGCACCGAGGCACAAGACTTCCTTCTGCTCGGATCTCTGTCTGGCAGCTCCTTGGTGAAATCCTGAGACAGCAGCATCCCCAGACACTGAGAAGGGGGAGTTACACCTTGATTCTGTTTATGTCTAGGCCAGGTCCAGGCTTCTTGGTTGTGTGAGTTCAGGAAATTATCTAGCCTTCTCTGCTTCCCTTATCTTCAAGGGGGACCATTCTGCTCTCTCATGGGTGGCTCTCTGAAGACTGCAGATGACAAGCATAAACTGTCTGGCTCAGGAGGGGGCCCCATGAGTGACACAGAATGGGGACAGCTCATATCTGGAATGTTCATGTCCAGCCCCAACCACTTGGCAGCCCTCAAAGGCAGAAGGAAAAATAAACAAAACACCTAAGATAGAGCTAAGCACCCATGTGACACACCTGGGCGAGTAGGCTGCAGGAGACGCTGACCCACAATGAGCCTGGGCTCTTGGAGGTGGCCTGAGCCTCCTGTGCTACACTCCTGCTCCGTCACAGAGCTTAATGGCTTGTGGGACTGGCACCAGCCCGTAGCCATCCCTTTCCAAGTTTTTCAGGTGTCTCTTGGGGATTTGATGCCAGGATCCTTCACAGTGGACGTGCCAGGAGATGCTGGCACGAGAAGCAGTGCTGCTGGCAGGTCGGCCCTGTGGCTTGGCATGCCTTGCCAGGACACCCTGTGGCACTGCAGACCCTCTGTATAATTCACCACTTCACTGAGGCCTCTGAGCACCACTGATGTGGATCAGTGGGGGAAGGGCAAGAGTCCTGTAGCTTTGTGGTCAGGGATTGTCTTGGTGGAGAAGATAGATGGAGACCCTTCCTCACCACTAGCTGCTGTAGGGTCTGGGTTCCGACTCTACCGTATCCCTAGGGGGACACCTCTGTCTCCAGAAGGACTCTGGAACAGGGTCAGGGTTTTCCCCAAGTGCTGGGATGGAGCCCCGAGCCTCACGTGTGCCAAGCACGCGCTCTACCACTAAGCCACACCCCCAGCCCACGATGCCAGATTTATAAAGTAGTTTCCACTGTGAGCAGTTTTGAGCTTAGAAGAAACAGAGAGAAAAGAGGATCTGGCTGGAAGCACAACTCCCCCGGCTGGCCAGCACTCTGCATGGACAGGAATGGCAAATCTTGAAATCGTGGCCACCTGCTCCAGGTCACCCATCTGGCAGGAGAGTAGGAGCAAGGAAGAAAACCCAGTGCTCCCAGGGAAGCCTGGTGGAGGCTCAGGGGAGCACTTAGAGGGAATTTCTGGCCYGGCATGGCTCTCGGTGCCTGATCTAGGACAGTGAGGCCCAGCTGGTGGTCTGGCTGCAGTTGGCCTCCTGGGAGCTAACTGTTGGAGTGTTTGAACTCCAGTGACACTCGAGACCGCTGTGTGACCTGCCCCTAGGGCCGTGGTAGAGTCTGTACAGGCAGCCCCCACACTCTGGCCCAGGGTAGGGTGGACCCCAGGGCTGGGAACTGGAGATGAGCTGCAGTCAGAGAGCGTCAGACCCCTGGTCGCAGCAGCCAGTCTCCTGGGCAGACACCCAGGGCTGAGGGCTTGGGCAGTTCTGCCAAGGGCTGGACCTCAGCCCCATGATTCATCTTGCTCTAGCCTCCCAGCCTCCCTGGAATCCCTTCTCCTGGTCTTGGGTCACCCTCTGTTCTGGGGTGATGGGGAGCTGCGAGGACAGTTGCCAAGACCCTGTCCTGGCTGGTTTGGGGGAAGATTTAATGCCTTAGGGTGAAGCTGGAGAGTTGGTCTGGTCCCCATGAGGTACTCCGACCCAGTGGAAGCTCTTCACGGGCRCCTTGAGCTGCCAGGGGAGTAGGGGGCCTCCAGGAGGAGCCTGAGGCGGGATCTGGGCCCTGCATCCTTCCTGAGCTGGGCGCAGACAGGGGGGCTCCCCTTGCCTCTCTCCTCACTGGAGTTAAAGGAAAGCCCCCCTCTGCAGCCCTTTCTATTCAGACATTTTAAAACTACCATCTCCTCCTCTACATTTTTGGGTTTCTTTTTTTTTTTTTTTAACCACAAATTACTTAATTTGCAACTTAGAGGAAGCCTGCCGGAAGCCCCATTGTCTGAGGTCGCTGGGGTCGCTGGGTTCCGCACAGTCCTGTGTACTCAGCTTGCAGGGAGGCCCCCCTCTCAGGGCCCATTGCAGCATGTGCCAGCATGTCCACATCARTGGTGGTGACCTGTGGTCTGGACAATTCATGGACTTCCTGGTCATTGAGCAAGTAGCATCAAGTTCCTATAGCTGTCCTGTGGTCAGAGGCGTCTTCAAGTGCTGGGAACCAGCCCAGGGACTCAGCATGTGAAGTGGACTCCAGAGCTTCCTTCCTGCCCTCCTGCCTCCTCCTCCCACCCACCTCCTCCCCCTCCTCCTCCTGCCTCCTGGGCACTGGTTTCAGGTTAGGAAGATGGAGGCAGCACAAGCAGGACCCGTCTCCCTCCTTGGTGAAACCCCAATATGTGTGGCTGAAGACAAGGAATCTGTTTCTCACAGTTTTGGAGATGGGAAGTCCAGGTTCAAGGGGCTGATGCCTKACTAGGGCCTTCTAGTGAGAGACAGAGATAGAAAGAGTGAGCAAGAGAGAGACGGAGGGTGGGTGCTGAACAGGCTTTTAGAACAGACCCACTCCCATGATTACATTAATCCATGCACATGGGCAGAGCCTAGACTCTTCTTGACACTGTTGCACTGAGGATTAAGTTCCCGGCAGATAACCAAACATGTGGGAACACGCACGAATCACACTTTTTTCTTTGTTATTTATTTATTTATTTATTTTTAAGATTGGAATCTTTTTCTGGCTCAGGAGGTCGCATCTGGGTTGAACAGGCAGCAGAAACATTTCTAGTTCAGGGGGAAACCCAGCAGGAGAGTACTTACTTGACTTTATTCTTTACATTTGGGTACTCAGTTCTCTTCCACCCCACATCAGCCTCCCACATTCAAATGCGTCTTATACTTCCCAGCCTGAGTTAATAACAGCCCAAAGGAGGCTTCCTCACCAGAAGGACCCTCTCCATACCTCCATGGGCCTCCTGCCCCTCCCTGGTCTCCTTAGCAGGCTCCTGCTCCCTGAGGAGAGGCCCCACCTGTCTTGTCCACTGTTAGACCACAGAACTGATAATGCACCTGGCACCAAACAAGAGAGAAAAATGATGGTCCCAAAAATATGGGAATGAACTAGGGCCTCACTAACTATTGGTTAAACCAGCATGGATAGCGGCCACACAGGCAGGAAAACCAGAAGCCAAGATGKATTTTAGGAGAGATCCATTTCACCCAAATCATTTGTAACATGGTTCTTTTCATGTGTCCTYAGCATACCGGGGAAGGCCACCCTGTTGGTCCCTTCACCCCTTGTTCAGAGGGTTGGCCCCTTCCTTTCTCTCCGCTCCATCTGGGACTCCATGAACCAGTCTCACCTCTTTTTTCCTGTTTCAGGTTTGAGAATGGTGGGGAGTTCACCTCAGAGCTGGAGAACGGCGACGACCCAGCAGCTTATGTCACCAACCTGTCCTATTATCAYCTGGTCCCCTTCGAGACGGACATTTTGGACTGAGCCCCTCCATTGGGACTCCCCCCACCTCAGCCCTTGACTGCATGTCCTGACGCTGTCCAAAGCTGCCACTCAGGCCTGGATTTCCYAGGGTCCCAGACCCCATCCCTGGTGAGGGCTGGTGTCCGACAATTGGAGCTGCAGGGCTTCTTGGTGGCTGTGGGCTGATTGCACGTCTCCAACAACCAGGGCTCATGTCCCTGAGTCTCCGCAGCCTGCAGTTCTGCGGGGCCTTCTCCTCTCTCTCCGCTTGACACACCAGGATGCCTCTTCACTCCTGGGACTCGCTGCCTATGCTCAGTGCCTGCAGGGCGTGCTCTCTGCCAGGCCAGGGGTGCCAGGTTGTGTCTGGCCTCCCTCTCACTGTTACTCCTTCTCTGCGAGGGGCATTCCCTTATACCAATGGCCTCAGACTGCCTGGCTACCTTGACTCCCCACCATCCCTTCATACGTGAAAGGCAGGAGGCATTTCAAGGGGAGATTTTGACAAGTTGCCAAGTTCTGGATGACTGAAGCAGGGGATGTTTAGTAATCCCGATTTCCCTGGAACCAGGATGTGTGGCTTTTGTTTTTGTGTTTCATCTCTCTGGAAACCAAGTTCGGGGTCAGCCCGGAGGAGTAAACACTTGACAGAAGGTCAAGCACACATGGGGAGTGTTGGCCTCAGAGCAGTGGAATCATTGATGACCAGGTGCGTGCATGTCTGAACTTGGCCTGAGAGTTAATGATGCCCCTCAAGAGCAAAGGAAGCCCTTTCTTGGACCGCCAGCTCCTCTCAGTCAGCCCTTCCACTTGGGTGTGATGCTGTTACTACCGCCTGCAGGCGGCGGGGGTTCCTCTCTCCTGCCCTCGGTGCCATCGTTGTCATAATGAACCTGAAAGGATGGAATTGGAAGGAAAGCTCAGGGCCCCGGGCCTACAGRGGTGGGTCTGGGTTCTCTGAGATTTATCTCCCCGGTGTCTACTAACGACCAGCATTTGCTAATGTAAATAATAGTAAATTATTGAGAATTCTAATTCTTTTACACAGTCTGTTTTTAATCTATTTTAATTAAATAAAATCTATTACTCTACTTTGATATGTTTGTGTAGAAAGGTGTGGTTCATTTGTCCCCTTTACGGGAACAGGACGGAAACCAAACACAGACCCCTGGTGCCTGGCTCTGAGCTCTCTCCCTGTCACATTGTCATTTAGGAAATGTGGTATGTTCTTCCCATGGGGAATGATCTGTCCAAACTGAAAAATGAACAAACAAGCTTGGTAGTTTTGGGGGTTTTTTTGTGTTTTTTTTTTCCTTTTTTTTTTTTTTTTTCCATTTAGGATTTTTCTTCTTCTCCTTTTTCCTCTTTGGCAGCCACAGGAAACCTCTCTGGTGACCCAGCTGTAATACATCTGATATTTCCATGGATTTTGCATTTCCCTTCTGCTTTCCGGCCTTGTTCAGTTTCATGCAACCTGATCTTCAAATATGCCATTAGGTGGCTGAATGAGGTTGACCAGTTGCCTGTTTCTTTTCTCTCTTTAACCGAGTTCTCAGTTCCATACATGGATAGAACTTTTTGCCTACCACTTAAAGTTAGAATCGATCAACACGTTCAGTTAATTCCAATGTAACTTTCAAAGTGTGATCCATGGATTAGGCTAATCACCCATGTTCCACAGGGTGCTTCTCTCCAGCCACTTACCTACTGAGATGGGGACTTCCTCAGCTCACCCACCTGCACCGACTGTATTTCTGTATGTGTATGTTAAGAGCTGAGTTTGGGCTCCCCAAGCTCTTCCTCTCAGCTTTATTGAAAAAGTATCACTGTTTACAATTAGTGCACAATGAAGCCTCTAAACAGGGCTCAGATGTTTGGAAATTTATTACCCTGTCAAAGCTCTGCCAGAGCATCCTATAGCATCCATTTTTTTTTCTTGGAAAACTTTGGCTTGAAATAAAACATATTCTTTATGTTCCCATCTTGGAAAGAGCCAGAGTGGAGATAAATACGTTAGTGCAATGAAACATGGTTAGTAGCRCTCAGCATCACTGTGTGAGGACCATCTGCAGCAAATGGAGAGCCCATGCACCACAGGAGGGGAGCAGCTGGTGCTCCTCAGTTTAGCTGATCCGAAGCGTGGGCCCAGTGTGGCCAGAAATCCAAGTTTTTCAATAGAAGCTAAAGTCAGAACTTTTATGTGCAAAATCCAACTTTGATGTGTTAGAAAGAAAAATAACAATAAAATAATAACAAGAAACTTAGCCAAGTAAAAGAATCATCAATTTGCAGCGTCTACCCTAAACCATCAGTTGAGAGATTAATACCAGAGGAGCTCGGGTTGGCATGTGACTTGTGCACTCTTGCTCATATCTTCTTCCAGAGACATGTTCCTCTCCTTTGTTGGTTCTGTCGCCACATCTTCATGCAACTCTGGCAACCAAAGGAGTCTTGGCCACAGTGTCCAGGACATTTTCTTTATTACTGACAATTGTGTGACAGCTATTATCCTGAGCCATGCTTACTACATTAGACAGCCTCCTGCAAAGTAATGTGCAATTAAATTCTTTTTGGCAAATCAAATTATTTAAGTCACCTCATTTTCCTGTTTGAAAAGAATGTTTGGCAAATGTTATTTATAGGCTGAGGAATGGTCTCCTCTTTGTTTTGCAAATCCAGGCTGGTTTTCACACAGGCTTGCTCAGAGTGAAAAATGTACACTGTGAACATGAGGTAGGCCCACCCTCTGATGATTTCTGCAGAATGGACACACTGTAATACATGCCCTCATCSTGGGATACCAGATAAGCACAAGTCACCTGGTAATTGAGCAGACCGTGGGCTCATTAATAAACATRCAGTTCTCATGGATATGACACTTATTAATAGAAATATATGCAGGAGTGTTGGCAGCCAAATCATCCTGAGTGATGTGTCCTAACCAGCACCATCTCCTCCTGGGGATAGAACACATTCTTGGCTTTCATTTAAGAGGCATTTTGTCAAAGCACAAGTATTTTTTTTTTTTTATTGCAAATGCAATTTCTGACCCACATTCCATGGTACTAATGTACTCTTGCAGACCAGGATTCTATTCTAGGTTCATTCTGTTTTTTAAACATGTAGATTTTATTATTATTTGATCATGGCCAGGTCAACAGATCAGGAAGTGACTGCCATTGAAAAATGGTTTGTTGTTGTGCTTGCAGAATCCAGGAGGAGAGGGCATGCCATGCCACAGGAAATCATGCAGGCACGGACCAGAGTAGGTTAGAGGGCAGAGGAAAAATATAGCAAGAACCTTTATGCTGGTTTCTGTGGGAAGTACAGGGTGAGGCAGGCTGATTTAGGATTAGTGAGTTTGAACAGTGGTCTCTGGGGCCTAAGCCCTGGACTGATTAGGYTTTGATCAGGTAAATAGTGTCCTAAAGTCCTGGAGCTCAGGTCACTGGGGGTGTGGGCTCTGTATTGGTAGGTTTACAGGTGAAAGTGTTGCTAGCAGGTAATTATTATCTCTTAAGAATTAGATAACTCTTGAAGGGGCAGACCAGTTTCAGCATGAGACCAAGATGTCAAAGCATCAGATACAGAAATTAGAAATCATTCTTATTATTATACATATTTTCCCCCATGAACCCTGGGGCTATGGGAGGGATCTGATTTTATCCCCTGCTGGGAGCACAGAGAAAAATCCCAAATGTGGCATATCTGTGTTCTCCAAGCAATAAAATTATCCAACAGGAAACAAGATTCCTTATGGATATACAAACTCTTTTTCTTATTTAAATGAGTGATATATTCCCATGGTCCAAATAAATAGAATGATGTAAAAGATTTTCAGCAGAAAGTAACACTCCCATTTCTTTCCTATCCTAATTCCCACTAACACCCACATTGATTAGTTTCTAATATGTTTATATGCAAACACCAAATAAACATGACCATATGCTTTTCAAACAATAGCTAGACGAATTCCTCTGGAGCCTACATAAAATTCAGCATTTGTGGTCAAYAATAATATGTCTTGAAGTTCTCTATATATGCACTTCAGAAATAGATAATCTGTTTAGATTTGATACATTTTCCTTCTAATAAAAATGTGAATGGCTTAAGGGCTTGGCTGATGTGGAGCATAGCATATCTGAGATATGCTTAATTTTGCTAGGCTTCTAGGGAAAGCTAGATTTTTTTTTGTTATTTGCTCCCATCTGTTGAGGGTGGAGGTGAGAATTGGGGGGGTGGAATGTAGTAGAGGCTGGGAGTTTGCTACAGGGTAGGGTCTAACAGTAATTTGTAGTAGACTTGAGGGCAAATCCCTCTCCAGTGAGCACACTCACCTTAAATGATCTTGAGGCAGATGTCCAAATGCCATAATGGCTGCCCCTGTGTTTATTTACAATAGGAACAACTCACCCAGAAAGCAGAATATGTAGAAATTATGGCTGGCCAGTGCCTTCTCTTTCCGTACAACTGGGAAGTCAAATCATGATCTGAAGCTGGCTCCATCAATATAGAAATTGGAATAGAGGGAAATAATTAGATTAACACCACGGGAAACATCACTGGGACCCAGGTTTTAGAGTTTTCATGGAAGGCATTTTCACATCTCATTAATTGAATAAATTAGCAGTATAAAAAGAGACTCTACTATGCTTTTCTCATTTTTCTGTGGGCAAGTGAAAACTTGACAAAGACAGGCAATGAATTTATTGGAAATCCTGAGATGAACAGAGAAACAACAGGGATGACTTCACTAATGGAAATCTAAACCTTAATATCTCCTGAGTCAGGGTAGCCTTGCCCATAGGCAGCTGTGACTGAAATGTCCAGATGAGGGTGGGGAGGAAGGATGCTCTTCTTGGTCCTGAAGCATCCTTGATCTCCAGGGAAATGCCTCTCCAGGAGGAGCATATTGGTAGGAGGATAAGCACTTTTGTTTTCCTGCTTTACCCACATCATCTGGGAGGGAGCCATTAGGGCCACCTGCAGGATCAGACACTCAAAGGTGGTTGGCTTGGTCAAGATCTCTTCTCCACCAGCTGATGCTTGACGACACTGAACAGACTTACCTCTGCAAAGCTGCTGTGGTAGACTGTGCTTCCTCGGACACATTCTTTCCTAGATACTTCATACATTCACACAGGTCTTACACTAACGTATTGGGGTTCATTCTTCCAATCCGAAGAAAATTTGCATATCTCTTCTCCAACCAAGTGTTAATGTCAGAGTATAACCCACAAATAGTCATCTTTTATTAGGATTTTATTTTATTTTTGATCAGATATTGTTTGCACATGATACAAAATTTAAGAGTAAAAAGAGTTGCTCATTGAAAACCTTATTTCTGCTCATCCCTGTCCCTCGACACTCAATTCCCATGTGTAAGGACAGTTATTATTACCAGTTTCCTGGGTAACACTTCAGAAGCATACAATCTTTTTAAAAGATAGCATACCCTTTCATAAACCTGGATTTCTCACTTAATGGTTGGGTTGGTGTTTATTCGTAGAGCGCGCTCATTCTTTTAACCTATGTACCTTTTTTTTTTTTTTAAGCTAAGCTACATTTTCCTTTTTCTTTTATTTCTCCATAGATTCTCTCTGTTTTTTTCTACTTTAATTTAATTTTGAAAATAGGTAAACCACTCATATATTTCAAACTATTGGCCCACTATTCAATTATGAAATACTGTTGAGTCCTCACAGAATACCAGTTGATGATCCATGCACTAGGGATGTAGCAATGAGCATTGACTTATTTCTAGCAAAGGGGGAGTAATAATAATAATAATAATAACAACAAGGAAATTATCTAGAAGGTAAACTGGAGGCCTTGGAGAAAAATGAGCAGCAAAGAAGAGTTTGAGGATGGAGACTGTAATTTTAGATAAGGTGATGAGGCCATTTTTGTCTGAGAAGGTGATGTTTGAATAAGATCTGGAAGGGAGTGAGGGAGCAAGTCACGTGGCTATCTGGTGGTAGCCTTGAGGACTTCGAAGCCATTGTAAGGCTTTGGCTTTACTCTGAGTGAGAGGGCAACCACTG